ACAGCCCCCAACCCCCAACCCCCAGCCCCCGTTCCCTAACCTTTTCCCTATGGTGCAATTTTTCAGCAAGCACTGCTGATTTCAATCACCAACCAGCACCTCTGGCCAAACTGGGAAGAGCTAGCAAACTATTGGAAGGCCCAGCCCGGCAGCCCTTGTACGGGGACCGTTATCAGCCACGGATCAAATGCTGGATCCCTTCTTCTTCTTCGTCGTCGTGTTCTTCTTTTCTTTTCTTTTTTTTTTTTTTTTTTTTTTTTTTTTTGGTCTGAGACCCTGCTAGTTGGTATTCCACAATACGCCTAAGGCTGTTGCACCCACAGCAACCACAACTGCTGCAGCGGCACACGCGACACTACTACTGCGCTCGCTAACTTTGTTTGTTTTTTTCGGGATATCCGCTTTATCACCTTGCTTGGCAGCATTCGCTCCGTAACTGCTCGCATAGGGTGTCCATTCTGTTTCCCGACTACTGAATTGCTGTGCACCACCACTTCCGTGTTCTTCTTCGTCGGACAGGAAACTTCCCTGAAGCCTCGTCCAACTTTCCTCCAACTGCGTCGCCAGAGTCTCTCCGCAACGCTCGATTGCATTCTAGACGACCAACATGCAAAGGCAAAAAAGAAGATGCACACGTTAGCAGCAATGTCATGCATCGGTCCTTGGGACATCCGTTAAAATTGGAACTATACAGAGACGGGTAATTACTAATTAATAATTACTGATTGAGTTGGGCAGGCCGCAAGGTCTGCCAGGCCCGTGGGTGCTGACCAGCAAACAAAAAAAAACAATTAAAGAGTTTAAAGTTTAAACTTTAAAGAAGGTTTTAAAAGGTTTTAAAAGGACTTTAAGGGAGGGATGACAAGCTAAATTGAACATTCAAAGCCATAAGAACAACCGTGAAATTGCAAAAAAAACTTTTAAAAACTTGAAAAAACTTTGAAAATGTTTAAAAAAGTTTAAAGAAAGAACACAATAAACTGCATCACATGCAATTGCAAAATAGTTCCAAACATTTAAAAAAACAAAAGACCTTTGAAAGGGAGAAAACCGTTAAATTTTATAAATCGCCGGTCTGGACGTTTTGATTAAAAAGAAAAAAAAAGAAAGAAAGAAAGAACGAAAGAAAAGTTAGAAAACACAAGGGCTTACAAGAGAGAGCAAGGCCTTTTCATCCCAGGGCAGATTAGACACAATATTGAATTTACCTGGGCTGGTTAGTCCGATGATAATACCTCAAGGCCATGGCCCTTTATTAGAAAAAAAAAAGGAAAAAAAAARAGAAAGAAAAAAAGAAAAAAAGAAAGAGCAAGGCAATGAAGAATGGCAATCACGACGACTAATGCGTACAGGAGACGAGCAACCACAACAGACATTTACTATAAATAAACTTCAGGTCTATGGGGCTTGGCAGTTTGCCAGTTTTGTGTATTCAGCTTCTCTTTTTCACAGCCATGATGGAAACTTCACCACTCTCAACAGTGGCAGACATTGGAGCGACAAGGATAACAAATTATCACCGTATTCACTGCCACCTCAGCTCCGAATAGCACCTGCTTGGGCAATGAGCGCATGAGGAGGAGGAGGAGGAGGAGGAGGAGGAGGAGGAGTAATACGACTAATGAAGTAGAGGGGGAGGTAGAATACAGCAAGACGAGGAGGAGGAGGAGGAGGAGGAGGAGGAGGAGGAGGTGGTGTAATAGGACGAATGAAGAACAGGAGAAAGAAGAGTGGACCAAGACAAGGAAGAGGATCAGGAGGAGGAGGGGG